CCCCCCCCCCCCCCCGTGGCTTGTACTCACTTCCTACTCTGAGGGTGTTGCAAGGACCTTCCGAGAATGATAAAATCATAGACTTTTAGGACTGAAGGGGACCTTAGAAACTTGCCTGGATTCCAGATGGACCTACTGTCTCCTCTCTAAATCCAAAAGGTCACATCCAGAGAGGTTGAGCAACTTGCCTAAAGCTACACAGCATCTTACTATATAGTACAACTAGGGCCCGAACCCAGTCTCCTCTTCACCTAGTTGCCACATAACATTTATGTAAGAGGAGCCACAGCAGGAGTTGTTAATGAAGTGGAAACTAGTTGGAGTTTCCTGTCTCCTTTGACACAAAGGTGTGTTACTGGGAAGGAGGATGGGGGCAGAGGGTGTAGGGGAAGTAGTTAGTGGAGGATGTCTTTGTGGTGGACCAATGACTTGGGCGGAACAAGTATGTTTTCACTGGAATAAACTAAGCAGAACTCAAAATTAAAATCCTCTTATCGGAAGGCAACCCCAGCCATTCTCCTGACTGAGGAAAGTTGATTCTGAAACCCGTTCATTGATTAATTTAACAAATATTTATGTGCTTGCCCGATTAGTTGATTTTGTAGCTTTTTTTTTTTTTTTTTCCACTGTTGACAACGCTCTCTACTTGAAACTCTTCTTCCACTCCTTAGCATTAGACTATCTTGGTTTTCCTCTTTGATCACCCCTTGTTGTTAAGTGCTGTGGAGTCAATTCTGATTCATAGGATTCCAAGGAGCAGCTGGTGTGTTTGAACCGCTGACCTTGTGGTTCACAATCCAGTGCTGATCCTACTTATCTTCAATATATCTTAGGTGTGAGCACACCTGTAGCCCCCTTTGACATTCTGGTTTTTCTTTCATTACCCTCGTTGCCGGAGAAATCGTACTTAATTCCATAGCCGTCCACTGAGAATACCCCTGTGCTGTTGTTATCTTTATTACCTCTCTCTTGAACCCCAGACTCACCTCTCCCAAAGACACTCTAATCTAGATATCCATAGATTCAATATAATACTTGGTTTGAGAAACCAAGTTCTGCATCTCTCCCCCTCAATCACTTCCCTTACTTACTCTTACATGTTGCAGCTGCCTCATCATATAGTCTGAAGAAGTCTCGCAGCTGACTCTGCTTCATGTTCTCTGCTTCCTAGCCAGCGAGACACTGGGGCCTGCCGATTCTACCTTCAACAGGACTTACAGACCTGTTCCTTCCCACTCTGCTTCAAACTCATGTCCTCTCAAGTCCAATTCCAGTCTCAAATTGGCTTGCCACCAAAGGCAAATTCATCTTCAATCCTTCATTCAATGTAGTATTTGCATACAGTAATCCCCCAGAAGTTATTTAACTTATTCCAAACCATATGATTCTATATTCAAAAATCTTTTTTTTTTTCTTCCCTACTGTCTATAAGAGCTTAAACTTTCAAGGCAGTTCAAGTCTGGTCCAATTCTTCCTTTCAGGACCTTTTTTCTGTCTCTTCCGTAACATTAAAGCCACCAACTTGTACCTTTACCCCCTTCTTATCAAAAGCCTTTTTCCCATCAAGGTCCACCTCAAATTTCATGTATTTCATGCCTTACTTGACAACCTCCCTCAATAGACATGGTTCTTCTGAGAACACCTGCAGACACATTATCTATGCCACTCACTTAACAATTACCTACTCTATATTATTAGTCATGTCTTTGATGTTTACTTTATTATATCAGCAACCACATAGCAAGCCTTGAAGACCTGGGTTCTGTCTTATTCTTATCCTTGTGTGTATCTTTCTTTGTCATGCACACACACACAACACTAAGTACGATAATTAGTACAAAGGAAGCAGTCAATATTTGTTGATTTTTGAAAACTAAATAGATTTCATCTTACTGTGTGCATTTTTCATGTAAATATTTAACCAAAGTATATACAAGTGACATTTTTCCAACCTGCTAGTGTATCATTATTTTGCTTCATAGTGGGTCCTACTATGAATAGTTTTATTAATGAAGTCCAAATCTAAGGGGAACTCTGCAGTATGGCAGGCGTTTGATGTAAGAGGAGGAATCCTTCACAGCTTCACAGGTTGCACCTGGCATTTCTGTAACATCTCCAACTTACTCATTCCAAAACTGCCTCCAACTCCTCCAGCTCCCCCTAGGAGCTCTGATTCTGGGTGACCCTGGGCAAGTCAGCAAACCTCGGCCAATGCACTTTCAATATCTCAGAAAGATCAGAAAATAAGATCTTTATTCTTGTTTTTGCCAACAAAGTCAGCTCTTCAAAACTGCAAAGTTGTTGAGTTGAAATCTTGTGTAGTGCAATGCCGTCCTTTGGCCTTAATTCTGTCTTCTTAGTCACTTGATGACTGAAGCAGACACAGCACCCCACTGATCAGGGTGTCTTGCATGGGGTAGAAGGATTAGGTGGTCCTCCCATCTCAGCAAGCTATGTGATTTTCACTCTTAACATATCTTTGGTAAGTCTATTACCCCCTCCACCTTTCCCCACCAGGCTCTGGCAGTCCATGTAGGCTTCAGAGAATACTTGAGGATTTATCTCTTTGGAGGATTACTTGTCATCCCATAGGTGTACCTAAGGCAGATCAGTTTCTCTACCCTTGGAGTGGGTGATTCAGCCTCTCCCCCAGCCACCTCAGAGAGAAATAGAGGTGGTAGAACAGGCAAGTCTCTTGCTGGGCACCACCCTTTGAGAATGTGGCAGGGCTGAAACCCAAATATCTGACTCTGTGATGTGCCAGGCATATCCATTTACATTCTGGAATCTCAGGCTTGGGGTGGACAGTCCCTCAGTCCTGTTTTGGACACTGTGGTTGTAATAGTCTCCTACTTGTTGGGTTGCCGTGTTTATTCTTGAGGGAGTAATTGGGCAACATCTCCATTTGCTCAGTAAATACTTAACTAAGTGCCAGGTACCATATCAGCTGTGAATGGACATAGTTCTTCACCACATGATGCTTACAGTCTACGTGGGGTGGTGGGGCAAGTGATAAACACATAGCCATACAAATTGCCTATGATTATACATCTAAATTCTGCATGATTATACATACAGCTACATATTATGTATGCTAGTGACTCCCACATGGCTCATTTCAGCCCATCTTCCAGTGGCTGCCTGCTCATTACATCTAATGTCTAAAAGGCTTCTCAGTTTATGTCCAAAATAGAATTCCCAAGCCCCTACCTCCTGCTCTTCCCAAAGTCTTCCCCATCTCTTTTAATGGTGAGTTCAACCTTTCAGTGATCCGGGCACCCAAAACTCTAGCGTCATCCCTGACGCCACTATTTATCCTACGGATGTAGGTTAAATTAAACCCTGCTAAGGAGCTCTGGTAGCGTTGTGGTTACGAATCGGGCTGCAAACCGCAAAGTCAGCAGTTCGAAACCATCAGCTGTTCCGTGGGAGAAAGATGAGGCTTTCTGCTCCCATAAAGATTTACAGCTTCGGAAACCCTGTACAAGGTCGCTATGAGTCGGAATAACCACTACCGCCACTCTACCTTGGTGCTGTGGGATAATGGGTCAAACTGCAACGTCATTTGAACTGCAAGGTTGGGGGTTCAAGCTCACCAGCTGCTCCTTGGAAACCCTATACAGGGTCGCTATGGGTCAGAATCGACTCAACGGCACTTAACGACAACAACCCTACCTTCAAATATACATAGAACCTTATCATTTGGTTGTTTCTCACCATTTCCACCACTTCCACTCTGCTCTAAGCTATCATCAGCCTCTTTAACTGATCTTCCTACTTCCTCCTTTGTCTCCCGACAGACTGTTTTCATCACAGCAGCCAGAGTGATGCTGTAAACTGTAAGTCAGATTTTGTTTCTTCTTTGCTCAAACCTTCCTATGACTCCCTAACTCATTCCAAATCCTTGTGTTGGCCTACAAGACGCTGTGATTTTTATCTGCTTACCTATGTTATACCATCTTTTACTCTTCATTCCTTTGTTCCACCCCTTGATAGATGAAGGTTTCGTCCAGTTCACCTCAAACATCCCTTCTCAGTCAACCTCTACTGGGCCATCCCATTTAAAACTAATCCTCTTCCCTTCCACCACCTGCTCTTAGTATCACCAACTTCCCTTCCGTATTTCATTTTTTCTTCTAACTGATCATCATCTAACATTGCCT